TATGATGAAACCCGTGGGGGACGGAGACCCGGTCTTCACCACGTGGGACGGTTTTAAGGAAGAGTTTAGAAAGTATTTCCTACCCGTGGATGCGGAAGACGAAGCCCGGGCTAAGCTTCGCCGTCTGCACCATAGGGAAGGCCAAATCCGGGAATACGTTAAGGAATTTTCGGACTTGATGCTTGAAATTCCGGATCTCTCGCCCAAGGAGGCGTTCTTTACTTTCATGGACGGTCTCAACCGTTGGGCCAAACTTGAGCTACAACGGAGAGAAGTCCAGGACATCGATCGGGAGTTAAAGGTGGCCGAGTCGCTCGTTGAGTTCCAAAAGAAGGATAGCTCCAAGGACAAGGGCAAGAAGCCGTTCCAAGGCAAAGGTGGGGGAGACAAAGGGAAGTCTTCCACACCCGCAAAACCGGCAGCCGACTCTACAAAGCCGTCTTCGAGCAAGGAGACCAAGGGGGACAAGCCAAAAAAGTTTCAAGGGTGCTTCTTGTGCGGGGGAGCGCACATGGCACGTGATTGCCCGTCTCGTTCGAAGTTGGCAGCATTGGCACAAGGTTTGTGCCAAGAAGAGGAGAAACGGGTCGCTTGCATGAAACGGCTAGACGCCATGCATGCCAAGGCCGAGACACGTCAAGGCCGTCTTTACATGGAGGCATTGTTCGCAAACGGGTCTAGATGGGGCATGCTAGACACGGGGGCCGACACGAGTTATCTCACGGAAGAGGTAACCAGTTCGCTTGGCGTCAAGTGGACACCTAGCAAAGGCCGTTTCAAGGGCGTGAACGGCGAATGGATGGGTCTTGTAGGCGAAGCCAGGGATGTGCCTCTTAAAATCGGCAACTGGTCAGGTACGGCTAATTTCTCCATCGCCCCTATGGATGATTACGGTCTTGTGTTTGGCATGGAGTTTTTAGACCAGGTTAAGCCAATCATCATGCCTAGCAACGACACGATGGTAATCCTCCAAGGCGAGAAGCCTTGTGTGGTAAAGTTTAGACGGGAGAATGAGATTAGCCCTTCCCAGCTGAACAAGGGGCTAAAACGGGGTGAACACACCTTTGCCGCCATGGTGTTTGAGGAGGAACCATGCACAGAGGAGCCGGCAAAGGAGGAACGAATCCCGCCTCCCATAGAGCGAGTCCTTGTTGAGTTCAAGGATGTGATGCCTGACGATTTGCCCAAAGGTCTTCCACCAAGGAGGGAGGTTGATCATGCCATCGAGTTGGTGGACGGGGCGAAACCGATAGCCAAGGTGCCTTATCGTATGTCCCCTAGCGAGCTAGAGGAGCTCAAGGTGCAAATCAAGGAGCTACTTGAATCGGGTCATGCAAGGCCGTCTAAAAGTCCGTGGGGTTCGCCGGCCTTGTTCCAACGCAAGAAAGATGGGACGCTACGTTTGTGCATCGACTATCGGGCGTTAAACAAGCTAACCGTAAAGAACAAGTACCCTATCCCACTTATAGCGGACTTGTTCGACCGGCTGCAACGGGCACGGATCTTTTCCAAGTTAGACTTGCGGAAGGGATACTACCAAGTACGCATAGTACCCGGTGATGAACCGAAAACGGCCATGGTGACGAGGTATGGCTCTTATGAGTTTCTTGTTATGCCGTTCGGTTTAACTAACGCCCCGGCCACGTTTTGCACTCTGATGCAACATGTGCTAGCGGATTTCATCGATAAGTTCGTTGTAGTATACTTGGACGACATCGTTATCTATAGTAACACAATGAAGGAGCATGTGGAGCATCTTAGAGCCGTTTTTCAAGTCCTTAGAAAAAACCAGCTCTATGTTAAAAGGGAGAAGTGTTCCTTCGGCCTTGAGGAGGTGTCGTTCTTGGGACACATCATTGGTGGGGGCAAAATCCGCATGGATCCGGCCAAAATCAAAGCTATCGTGGAGTGGGAGGCACCCACGAAGCCAACGGAGCTGAGATCGTTCTTGGGGCTTGTTAATTACTATCGGCGGTTTATTGAAGGGCACTCCGCCATAGCCGCTCCACTAACGGATCTCTTGAAAAAGGGGCAAGCTTGGTGTTGGACACCAAAACCCCAAACAGCGTTCGAGGCTTTAAAGGACGCCGTCACTCGAGAGCCAGTCCTAGCTCTCCCTGATTTTGAGAAACCGTTCGAGGTGTGCGCGGATGCTTCGGACTTCGCCATTGGGGGCGTTCTTATGCAAGATGGTCACCCGATCGCCTTTGAAAGTCGCAAGTTGAACGAGACCGAGAGAAGGTGGCCGACGAACGAGAAGGAGATGTTGGCTATAGTTCACTGCCTTAGAGTTTGGGAGCACTACCTAAAGGCCGCCACACCGTTCAAGATCAAGACGGACAATCGGGTAGTGAGCTACCATCAAAGCCAACCTAAGCTTTGAAACAAGCAAGCACGTTGGTTGGACTTCTTGGCCGAGTTTAAATACGAGCTTGAGTATAGCCCGGGGAAGACTAACCACGTGGCCGACGCCCTAAGCCGAAAGGCGTGTCTTGCTCCAATCGTTAGCATACCCGAGGGGATGCTGGTTGATCGCATCAAGAAGGGTCTTGAGCACGACCGTCAAGCCCAAAGGTTCATGGAGCTCATGAAGGAAGGCAAAACAACACGGTTCTGGCTTGAGGATGGGATACGTTATGCCAAAGGGAACCGTTTGTACGTGCCCGCATGGGATGGACTTAGAAGGGAGATTCTAAGGGATTGCCATGATAGCCGTTATGCGGGTCACCCAGGTACGCATCGCACACTTGCCTTATTCCATGAACGGTTCTATTGGCCTCGCATGCGGGAAGATGTGGAGACATATGTAAGGACTTGTCTAGTTTGCCAACAAGACAAGACCGAGCAAGACCACCCGCATGGCTTGTTATCACCCTTGCCTATTCCGGAACGCCCGTGGGACAGCGTTTCGATGGATTTCATCGTGAGCCTGCCCGCTTCCGAGGGTTGCACCAACATACTTGTTGTGGTGGACCGTTTGTCTAAGTATGGGGTCTTCATACCCGCCCCAAAAGAGTGCACCGCAGAGATAACGGCCAAACTCTTTCTTAGGCATGTGGTGAAGTATTGGGGGCTGCCTACATCGATCATAAGCGACAGGGACTCAAGGTTCACCAGCCGTTTTTGGCAAGAACTCTTTCGTTTGCTTGGGACGGAGCTCAAGATGTCTACATCTTTGCACCCGCAAACAGATGGGCAGACGGAGCGCATCAACGGCCTCTTGGAGGTGTACCTCAGGCACTATGTGGCAGCCAACCAGAAAGATTGGGTACGTTTGCTAGACGTTGCCCAATTTTCCTATAACTTGATGCGGAGTGAGAGCACGGGCAAAAGCCCGTTTGAGATTGTCCTTGGTTTCCAACCGACTACGCCTAAGGACATTCTTGGGGGCTATAAGGGCAATAGCCCAACCGCATACAAGTTTGCCAAAGATTGGCAAGAACGGTCCGACGAGGCAAAACTCTACTTGGAGAAGTCGGCCGCACGCATGAAGAAATGGGCGGATAAGAAACGGACCCGTCGCGAGTTTGAAGAAGGCGACCAAGTCTTGGTGAAGCTTTATGAGCATGGACGGAGCCGTGGTCTACACAAGGGTCTCATGCGCAGATACGAGGGTCCTTTCATCATTCTTAAGAAAGTGGGTTCGGTTGCTTACAAGCTGGAGCTACCCGAGGCCTTTTCAAGGCTTCATCCAGTCTTTCATGTGAGCCTACTTAAGCCATACCGCAAGGACCCAGAGGACGAAGAATGGAACGTTTCCTCAAGGGCACCAGCTGGCGTACGCGAGCATGAGGAACGGACCGCAGAGGAGATCCTTTCTAAGAGGATCATTCGGGGCAAGAGCGGGGCAGCAACTAAAGAATACTTGGTGAAATGGAAGAATTTGCCAATGAGTGAGACGAGTTGGGAGCCAATCGAAAAGCTTTGGCAATTCACCAAATTGATCGAGGACTTTGAGGAGAATCGTGCACCCGTTCCTATCAACATTGCCTTCGAGACTTAGGTGCATCGGGGCGATGCACCATTTTGGTGGGGGAGGATGTCACGGACAGTTTTTCTTCACCACGAATTCAGGTGGTTTTCGTAGACGGACATGGGACTGAACGGTCTAGAGCCTTGTGGAATTCTCCGGTCAAATCTTGAAGACTCTGGAATTTTCTAGAGAGGCCCGGAACTCTCTAGAAACGGGTGGAACCGTGTAGAAGCTACCCGAGTTTGCTAGAACCGTGTGGAAGATTCTAGAGACTTGTAGATATTTTGAACTTAGAATATTTTATTGTAGGAATTCTCTAGAATTCCATTATTTTATTATGTACATAGAATTCTCTAGAATTCTTTAGGACTTGGGGTTTGCCTATAAATACCCCATGCCCCCTTCATTTGTAATCCATCAAAGCTTTGAGTAGAGTTCTCAAGCATTCCTTAAGCTCTCTTGTGCCTTCATCATTCTTTCACTTTCAACCTTTCTTAAGTTTTTCTTTGCCTCCGTTCTTTAAAGTATTGCCTAGCCTTGCACGCTTTGGGGGTCTTAAGGCTGAGCTAGCACTTGATCGTTAGTTGTTTCGTGCTAGTGCCGCACGGCCGTTACTTTGAAAAAGTAAGCCCGTGACACAAGGATCCTTGTTATTCCGCTGCTGAAAATCCATTAACTCTGACCAGAGATCTCGTCTCTCTTGCCTGGTTGATTTCGCGTTGACCGCTGACAATAAGAAATTCTGAGAAGAAGTTAAATGTTCTACCCTCAAGTGCAGAACTTGTTCCATGCCTCCCATATCTTTTATTATCCATTCTTTGGAAGCAAGTAGCCATATTTTCCCTGTGACAGAAGAAAAGGCTGATGCCAAATGTAGTTTCTTTCGCAATTCTTCAAGCTTTAAAATCGATTGCATAAGCTCTTGTAGAATAACTATTGAAATAGAATGCATTCCAACTAGATTTTTTAGTCTGATTGATGCCTTATATATTACCTACACGTCTAACGTTCCAGAGGAAGATGTTACTCATTGAGAATTTTTTTGTGGAGAATCACCTTGCAATCTCGTCGATCGACGAGTCTCTGTATCCTGAATTTTTACTCCTGTTTTTGAACCCCGTGGCCTTCCCCTCTTTTTCCTTTTTCCTTCACCATCAGACACAACAAGTCGCATATCTTCAACAGCTGATTCATTCATTCCAATGTCTCCACTATCTTTTGTCGCATCTTCACCGAGTAGATAGTTGCAATGCAGCTCTTTTCGTGCGTCGTCAAGAACCAATTCTGTTTCAGACTCGCTTTCCACTTCCTCAGTCAAAGTTCCTTTTGAATGTACAAGTTCTTCTTCTTTATCATCAAGTTGCTCCTCTGATAGATTAGCTAGGGCATCAAATCGAGACAATAAGTTTATCGGAGGAATTGTAATCAAAGGCTTCGTATATGCGATAAGTTGCCTTTCCGCATCCTCTTGATTATTGGCCATTCCTTCATCCTCCCATGTTTTTGTCACATTTTCCTCCTGCGAGCTCTTCTCTAACATAGCACTTAAAACGTTCTTTGGAGAGGAGTCGCTTATCTTGTTGGACTAAGAGCATGTTCAACCATTGCACTATAATGTACACCCAATTTAGTGTATAAATAGAATATTCCATGCATCTTTTTACATCAAAATTCTTTACACTCCAACCTTGACACACTAAAATGTATTTTATTGTTGTAGTTAACTAAAATCATATAATTTGGTGATAATTTTGTGAAATTTGTTCCTTATAATCGCTTTTTTTTTTGGTTGTAGAAGTATCAAATTTTTTTACTTCTTTTTCATATTCAATTTTAATAATAACTAAAAAATATTTTTTAAAAAACAAATTTTATATTCAATATGGGTCTTATTTTGAAGATCTCAACAAAATATTTAATATGATATAATTTTTATTAAATAATTTATTTTACAAGTTTAATTGCATAGCAAATATATATTTAGATCTAAGGAAAAAGATAGTGCACTAAAAATAATGTAATGGACAATTTACACCAATTTTAGTGTAACACTATTCTTCGCACTAAAATACTGTAGTGATTTAGTGTGTTCGTTAGAGTGAAAACTTTACATCAAAACACCAAATTTAGTATTTTAGTATCTTGGTTGGAGATGCTCTAAAGGCTTAAACTTCCAATATCGGTTGGAACATCATTCTTTTCCTTGGCAGTCAGCCCTGATGAAGAGCCCTCCGTTTGTTGTTTTGTATTCTTCTCAGTTGCTTTCTCCGGGAGATTTTTTGTCTTCCATACAGGATGTGGGGGTCGAGGCTTTGATTGAAGATTGGTTCCTACCTTTTATAATCAACCAATCTTGCCAAAACAAAAAATAAAAATAAAAATAAAACCAATCAAGAAATAGCTCTCATCGTGGCCTTCTGCTTAATTTAAATCATGTCAAGTGGCTAGCCCAAAATTAATCTTCTGTTATCATAAAAAATAAAAAGTATTTTTTTCAAGGACAGAGCTCACTTCTGCCCTCCAAAATTTGGCATATTCTTCACCAAGTTAAGAAATTAATTGTCAATTTTCAATTCCATTGCTTTTTTATTCAATTAGTTTTTCGTAAGGACAAAAATTAGTAAATTAACATATATTATGCTAAAATCTAACAATTGATTCCATAACTTAAATACAGATGGATCGACCCATGGAATTCCTGGAGTAGCTGGACGGGATCATGTGGTTACAGTAGAACAAGGAGCTGAATGCAAGCATATTGGCATCACCTTCAGTCTTGAAGCTGAAATACAAGGAATACTTCATGGTTTACAATGGTGTTCTGAACAAGGCCTTAATAGAGTTAAATTTCGAATAGACAGCAAGGTTGTAGTTCAGATGTTATGCAAAGGTAAAAAAACTTTCATGGAGATATCATGCAGCACTCAGTGAAATTCAAATCATTTGAAAAAGTAAAACTTTTTCCATTCATCTCATTTACAGAGAAGTGAATGCGTTGGCTTATGGGCTCTCAAAACAGGCCTCCAGTTGTAACTCATTGATTTTGATGGCTCTCATGAACTTCCTCTTAATTCGAGACTTGGATCAACGTTCTTTTCCGTATACTCAAATTAGATAAGGAAATAGATTAGAATTTTCTTGAGTTGCCATGGGATATTTGTTGATCTTTGTACACCAGAGTCTTAGATAATTTTATAAAGCTATCAGGAGTTATTAGATAATCTTTGTGTGACAGTCTCTTAGCTAGCTAATAGTTTTATGCTTTAATTCCTAATTGAACTTTCATAAGATTCATACTTAATCTTTTGTAAAACAGTTCTTAGCTAAAGTTTGCAACAAAATCGTCATTAGATTTAATAGAAAATCTTGTTAGACGTTCTTCTTGTCTTTAGATAAGTTTTAAGCATTGTCTTTTGTTCTTTTCTATTATTACTAGTGATGTCTGGTCGCATAATGTGCGACCCTGGCCCAATCTATCTATAGATCTTAGAAATATTTATATTTAAAAAAAAATGTATTTGGAGTGATATATTTTGGAAATGTTTAAAGGATGTAGAAATGTTTTATAAGTGTGATCATAGAAATATTTGTATTTAACAAAAACAAAAATTGTATTTCGCCATGCATGTTTTAGAAATATTTTATAAGTGTTACTTATTAAATACAAATAGACTTAATCGAATATATGTGTTGAAGTAAATATTAGACAAAATATAAAAGTATCCTAATAAGTTTAAATATTAGTAAGATGATTTATTGATGTTTTCCATTGGTCGTGCCAAATCAATACTTAGTTTTGGAGATTTTTAATAGCTTTGTAATAAGTTTCATCCGAAGGGTATAAGCTTAAAACAAAATTGACATTTTGTAAGAAATACCTAATTGATCAATTCAATTTAGACTCCATAATTAAGAAAAGAAAATCACTTTAATTGAATGAAACATAAAGAAAAAATTTAAAAAAAAAAACGTGTCACGTAAAGTGCAAAGGGGGATTTAGTAATTTAGTTATGGTTAGACAAAAAGGCAATTTAGTACTTTGTTCATGTCACGCGGCAATCATAGAAGGTGTTTGAAAGGGGGTTTTTATTTCTAATATAGTAGGATATTTATAAAATTGGGGTACTCCCGTCAGGTTCACCCTAGATTTTCCTACAAATATTGAAATCCCTACTTTTTAATAATAATTATCTAGCACTGAAAAATTTAGTATTATAACAAAAAATCATTAAACTTTAGTCAACTTTTTTACAAAGACAAAAATATCAATAATTATTTCCTACTATTTTTCTACTTTAATTTTTTGGGGTGCCCATTTTTAATTTACTAAAAACCTCAAACTTACATTGTTATTCCATTTATTTTTTTATTAATTTACTTTTTTTTGTTCAAACAAATTTCTTTGCTCGTTGCATTTTTTTGTAATTAAACAGGTATTTACGTAACTTTTTCATTTATTTTTTCCTTTAAACTCAAAACATTTATCATGCTAGATTCTTGTTTTGCTAAATGTTTCTAAATTTTAATTCTATAATGTTAATCTTCCTAAAATACCCTTAACCAATACTTTAATTTGTTCTTGAAAGTTGTTAAACCAACATGAGTCTTTAATTTCAAATTCAAAACATCTCATCTCAACTCTTTGAAAAAATAACTTTTAAGTCTTTTCACTAGTTCCAATACAATCAATAATTCTTAGGTGGTTAGTTGAGTTAAGGGTAAGTTAGGAATTTCATTGGAAAAATAATTACTATATAAGGAAACCAGCCTATTTTATGGGACGCCCTAAAATAGAAAGGCAGCTTATTAAATTGGGACGAGGGAGTATGTAGAAAATATGGAAAGGCAATGGGGGGTATATCTTATTTCCAAAGGCAACAAGAAAAACAACACCGAAAAAACTTTTGGGAACTTTTGCTAAAGATGGCAATGCAGTGGGAGATAAATATAATTTTGAAAGGGAACAAGATATACCAGGAAGACCCAAATGATCAAAGATTCTAATAAGAAGAGGTGGAATAATAACTCGTTGCTTGACGAGACTAAGGTGATCCCGGTTTTTTGTCTTCTAATGAATAATCAGCTCATATGGAATTTAAGAGGTATTGGGTATAAAGCTTGGCATACAAGACTCAAAAACTTGGTTTCAATGAGGTCATCAATTTTATTCGTTATATTACTTGAGCCAAATGCTACCGGTGGTAAAATTAGAGGATTTAAAAAGAAAATTACAATTCAATCAAGTCTTTTCTTTCGTTACAAAAAAATTTGGGTGCTTTGTACCAGGGAATATGCAATTATATTAATTACAATGAGGAGCGATTTTTACACTTAGAGGTGGAAAGCTCAAAAACTTTTTAAAAGGTATTAATAACGACAGTTTATGCAAAGTCTATGCGTCAAGAATGGTAGAATTTATGGATGGATTAAGTGAGTTGTGTAATCATCATCAAGATGAACCATGGATGACTGGGGTTATTTTAATGTAATCAGGAATTTGGAGTACTCAGGGAACTCCTTACAAGATAGGGATGCGATTGAAGATTTTAATGATTAGATTCTGTAACCCCAAAATAAATTTGAGTTTCTTCGACTGGTCGGTTTGACCGTCAACCAAAGAGGTGGAGTTTCCCTCGTATTGGCATTTGAATCAAAGAAGGATTGACAATTGTTATGCGGTTAGGCTTGCTTCCGACAATTTTCAGATAATATTTGGAGCTAATTCTATGCACACTCGGATTGGGATTGAATTGGAAACTTTTCATGAAAGCTTGACGCAACAAGATAATAGGCACTGGTTTATTGATCAAATACTTTGGTTGCATTTTGGTTTGGTTAATTAAAGAATCCCATCCAATTGGTTAGTTTGCTTTGTATGGAAAAAGGATTCCCACGTGCTGCCTAGTTGATTAAGTAATCAATTCGTTATTTACAAGCTAAGGTTTTCAACTTCTAATAGGATTCAGGCTTATGTGATCAAATCCTACTAGTTCGGAGTTTCTTTCGGTCCAAGTCGAGAAGCAGCATCAACCGAACCCTTCCTTCTATTTAAGCAGCCGCGCGCCAGACAAAGACACACAATCTCAACTCATCATCGTCAGCCATTTATCATTTTCTTTCGCTTTTACTTTCATGTATTTTATCATATTTTTCTAGTTTAGCGTAGATTAAATAGTTTTTGACCTGTTTTTCTTCATAGAAATAAGTTATCGTTCATCGTAGTTCACTGAATTCGATTCCTTGTAATAGTGTGTCATCTACATGATTATCTAGCTTGTCAGCACTATATATCTCTTTTTTTCCCCAATTTAATCAACCGAAGGCCATCACTTTGGCTTATCTCGTTTCTTCTCTATAGTTTTTTTTATTATTACTAAACCGAAGTTAACTCTAAATCATCGATTTTAGGTTCGAGGCCGGTTTTCAAACACATCCACAATCATCTGATTTGCTTTTGTATTTGGATAGTTTTCTTCTCCCTTTCCACGATCCGAGTGACAATTTTTGCTCAAACATAAAATTTGGCACGCCCAATGGGAC